GGAAGGCTGAGGCGGAAGGATCACCGGAGCCCAGCAAGTCGAGGCTGTGGTGGCCAGGAGTGGCCACTGAACTCCAGTCTGGGCGACAGAGTGAGACTCCAACTAAAAAACAAACAAACAAACAAAAACAAAACAAAACAAAACCAAAAACCAAATTCAATTCAGCAGTCCACAAGATAGGGGAAAAGCTGCCTCTCTCCTTACTTTTTTGACCACATTTCCTCTCACTCTTACCCAAAAATAGCTCTGTTCCAGACTGTTTTTTTTTCTTTGAGTTGGAATCTCATTTTGTCACCAGGCTGGAGTGCAGTGGCACACTCACAACCACTGCAGCCTCGACCTGCTGGGCTCAGGCAATCCTTCCACCTCAGCCTTCCAAGTAGTTGGAACTATAGGCCTGTGCTACCATGCCCAGCTTTTTTTTTGATTTGCTGTAGAGCAGAGGTCTCACCAAGTTGCCCAGGCTGGTCTCAAACCCCCCGGGCTCAGGCAGTCCTCTCGGCTTGGCTTTCCAAAGTGCTGGGATTACAGGCTAAGCCACCGTGTCTGGCTTGTTCCAGATTGTTTACTGGTCCTCGAAAATTCTAGTCCACATCAGGGCCTTTGCCTTTGCTGTTTTTTTCTGTCCCAAACCCTCGTTTCCCACACTGCTTTATTCTTCATCTTCTTTGGGTCTTTATTCCAAGACCTCAGGGAGGCTGTCCATGACTATTCTAAAGTTGCAACTTTCCAGTAGAACTCACTGCTCCACTTCCCTCTCCTCTCTTACTTTTCTCCATAGAACTAACCATCACCTAAGTGATTGTGTATCTTGTTTAGTTTATTGTCTATCTCCAATAACTGCCCCTACCCTCATCTCCACTAGGGTAACAGTTTATCAGCTTTGTTCATTTCTGTATCCCCAGCACCTGATACAGTGCCTATCACACAGCAATGCTTCATACAGTTCTTTTATTTTTTTTCTTCTTCATCATTCTTTATAAGCATACACAGTTTTTTGTTTTTGAGTTGGAGTCTCACTCTGTTGTCCAGACTGGAGTGCAGTGGCACGTTCCTGGCCACTGCAGCTTTGACCTGCTGGGTTCTGGTGATCCTTCCGCCTCAGCCTTCCAAGTAGCTGGAACTACAG